AAAAGATTAATAGAATTAGATTATTAGAAATAGATGAACAACTTAAAGAACAAATATGCAAAGTAATAGAAGAATCAGATACTGAGTCTGAAACAGGAGAAAGTAATAGCTCAGAAAATAATATGTTTGAAAATGATGAATATTTATCTAGTTCTTCGGATGAATGTCTTCCATGTCAAAATAATAACAATAATGATTGTTGTAAGGATAATAATCTTTACAATATTATATCTCAATTTCAAAATCTACAATTTAACATGTTAACAACTGATAATGTTTTAGAACTACTAAAACAAATACCAGATCACGATATTCGTGATAAAATAATTAAAATGATAGATGTGTCTAATAAAAAAGAAAAAGAAGTTAATAAAAAGGATATTGTTTTCAATAATAATCCTTATTCAATGCAGGAAATTGAAAAAAGAATGAAGAAATTACTAAATAAAGAAGAATCATCTTCTTCAATTATAACTATTTCGGATTTACAAATAGAAGTTAATAATATAAAGAATGAAATAAAATATTTGAAACAAAATAACGAATTATTAGAAAAAAGGATTAAAACAATTGAGTATTCACAATCAGGTGAAACCTCTATAGTTGATCCACAAACTATTCAGAATTTAGCTGAAAATATATCTGAAGATCATAATTACGAATTCTTAAAAACAATACAAATAATTACATCCCAAAGATGGTATATAAAATTAACTCTAATGATAGATAGGCAATTTGTCTTAAACACTGTTGCAATGATTGATAGTGGTACTGATTTGTCTTGTGTTCAAGAAGGGTTAATACCCACGCAATATTTTGAAAAAACCTCGCATGCATTAAAATCCGCTTTTTAGTTCAAGAAATAGAAATCCGGGAATGAGGCTTTTGGAACTTTGATGATTATGATGTACCTGCTTGGCTGCTTTTATAAGAACTATATAGTATATTGTTGTACAGCAAATTTGTACCATAATTGGTAATCATTCATCAGAAAGAAGATTTGAGATGATTTGTTTTCCCCGGCTTCTCATTGATAGTGGTCATCATAGGGAGGTCAACTGTTTGAAACTAGTCCCATCATACCTATTTGGTATGGTACTTCCTCCTGTTCTTAATATAAGGCATTTTTATTTTTTTTTCTAGATTTCATTTAACACGTATTTTTAATTAACGAAAAAATTATAAAAATATTTTCTAACAATCAAGAGAACACAAAGTAAAAATATATTTTTAAAGTTTTTTCGTTAATTAAAAATACATATTAGGTGAAACATATGACTAAATGAAAATGCCTTAAATTAAAGATCGGAGGGAGTATTTAACAAATGAGATCACCTCAATTCTAAGTTTTGAAGGAAAATATAAGGCGAAAAGAAAAAAATAAAAACTAAAAATCATGGTTCCAGTCGAATTTTGTGCTTTTACAACTGAAAGTGGAGAGACTGATTTCATTTTCGGTTTTCCAATTTCTGGCATGGGTTTTCGCTAACCTATGCCTCAAAACATTAATGTCTTTGTTAACTTGGATTTGCCGAATGAATTAGTCTGCAACAATGTTTCAAAATATATCAATCCGATTCATACTTGAATTAGTCTGAACTAATGCTTTGGAACACGGGTAAACTTTTGTTAATTGGAATTGACACAGGATTATTTGCCGTGGCACTCACTATGACACATTCTAATTACTTATTATAATTTATATGATTCGTATTAATATATTTACTATTCACAATTATTTTCAAATTTATATATTTTAGAACTAATGGTCGAATTATGGTTTATTTATTTTAATTTCATAGTTAAATTATCTACATCGAAAATAGGGAATTGAATGATAGTCTAGTGATTAGGGTGCTATCTTTCCTGGTAATAGATTAGTGTTCGATTACCACCTAAGGGTTTATAAGAGGGTTTTACCCACACTGGATAATTTTTTCGAACAAAAGGAGGCATTGCCTGGTTTCATATATTAACAAAACGTGGGTAGAAAACCCCGATTACATCATGATTGAGCCAAACCCGAACATCTATCGGTGAATCTACATAATGTTGAACTCCTACATAGCTAGAGTCTAGCATTGATGCCATTGCATCCGTCGTAAAATTAGCCTCTCTAAAATTAAACCCCAAAATAATTGTCCAATTTCTATCTAACAGTTTCCTAATTTGCTGCACAATAGTGTTATGCGCTGATGAAGCTCTATTACGATTCTGGACAAGTTGGACAACATGCTTGCTATCTATTCCTTCGATGACCAGAATCCCAAGCTAGCTGCAATCCATAATATCTAGCCCCCGCAGCTCCACCACCATGATTGTACCAGGCCCTATATACAGTGAAAAGCCTCCCTTTCATCGTCCTTCATCATCCCGAATTAGACCTCCCGCCCTCGCTATTCTGGTATTGCTGTCAAAGACCTCATCCGTATTGACTTTATACCATCCGCCGGTGGTGGCTTCCAACAAACAAGTACCTCCTCTCTCCTTCCTCCCAAATTCGTCACCTTCCTCCGGTACTCAATTGCTTCAAGAATCCCTCCCACAAGTCGCCAAATCTCCTTTACCCTCCTCTCACCCTTTATCTTTTCTTCCCCAAAAACAAATTCATTTCTCCATCCCCAAAGCTTCCAGATAGTAACACCGAAGACATAGCTCCATTGCCTCCTATTCTCCATGCTAGCCGACAGATATTTTTCTAGTCATTCCACCTCATTTCCTTCAAAGAAATTTCTCTCCTCTCTTAGTGGTAGTAATCTGAGCCATACATGTCTTGCTGACGGACAGTCCCGCACCACGTGTAGGGCCGAGTCTGACTGTCACCCACATCTTGGTTAAAGCGGGTTGTCTGTAAACGTTCGACGGTACCTCTCCAATTTGTCATTAGCCTGCTTCTCGCAACCAACTATAGACATGTTTGGATTCGCTCCGGACCTTTCCATGTCCATATTTTCTCCCACAGCTTCGATCCTCCTTGGATTCCGCACTCAGCGAAAGCTTCATAGGCAGATGTGGTCGTGAACTCCCCGCCAGTTGACCAAGTCCAAAAAACTTTGTCCTGTCCCCCTCCCTCCACCGGCGGCACTATGGTGGCTAGCGTGGAGAGGATTGTGTCTAGTAGCAATTGTTGCAGCACTATCCAATTCCATTCTCCTTGATGTACCGCCTCGCCCACCGTCCAATCTTTCTGTTGTTCTGGTATCCATTCCCTCAATCTGGTTTGGCCAGGCATCCATGCGTCATCCCAAAAAACGGGTTGTTTTACCATCCCCAATGGCCCATCTTATCCCCCTTGGACCTTGGACCATACCTTTTTTATGGATCGAAATATGACCGACCCATTAGAAGACTCAAGCCCTCTATTTCCCCCACTTTCTCCTTTACCATATATAGCCCATAAAATTTTGGCCCAAAAAGAATCTGGTTTTGTTAGCAGCTAACAGTTCAACTTAGCCAAAAAGGCTTTGTTCATATCCTTAGCCCTTTTTAAACCCAAACCCTCTACCTCCTTCCCCATACATAGATCCTCCCATTTAACCAGACTGATACATTTATGATCATCACTCCCTCCCCATATGAATCAGCGGCATGGCTGTTCCAGTTCATTCCCCACCGCCGCCGGTAGCATTACCAACTGCATGGTATAGTACAGAAGTGAATTGAGTACTGACTTTGTCAACATTATTCTCCCCGCCAACGATAACGTACTTGCTTTCCATCCAGCCAAGGCTTTTTGAAATTTCTCCAGAATACCATCATACAATCCTTTTTCATGCCTTCCATGTATCAACGGCACCCCCAACTACCGTCCCAAGTCATCCACTACCTGAAACCCCAACCTCTCTCCCAGTTCCTTCTTCATCTCATCTCTCATATTATTGGAGAAGTAAACTGTTATTATTGGTTTGCTTACCCGCAACCCTGATGCAGCCGACAAAAGACTAAGGACTTGTTTCAGCTGGACCACCTGTGACTCCTCTGCCTCCAAGAACAACATTAAGTCATTCGCGAACATCAAAAAAGGCACTTGGAATTTTTCTTTCCCTATTTTGATTGGTTTCCACCTTCAGTTATCCACCATTTCTGTAATTAAGTGTCCCAATCGCTCTATACATAATACAAAGATGTACGGCGACATTGGGTCGCCTTGCCTTATTCCCCTTGATGGCTTAAAGGCCGGCGTTACTCCTTCATTCACCTGTATTTGCATGGAAGCAGTGCTTATACAAGCCATGATGCTTCCTATCAAACCACTCGAGAAGCCTACTAGACACAGTGTCTCCTCTACAAACTTCCAATCAAGCATATCGTATGCTTTTTCAAAGTCTACTTTTACTGCCATATATCCCCTCTTCCCCTTGTTTAGCTTCATTTGTGCATCACTTCTTGTGCCACGATGATGTTGTCCTTTATGTGTCTCCCTGGAATAAAATTGGATTGGGCTGGCCCTATAATTCCAGGAAGGACAAACTTCATCCGGTTAGATATCACTTTGGTGATTAGCTTATACATGACGTTGCATAGGCTTATCGGTCAGAAAGCCTTCATCGTCTCTGGATAGTCCACCTTTGGTATGCGTACCACCAAGGTCTGGTTCATAGGCTCTGGACTTCTTTCCCCTTCCAAAACTCCCTTTACCACTTTGCAAACCGCCTCTTTCACTACCGGCCAATTCTTTTGGAAGAACACCACATGCAATCCATCCGGGTCGAGAGCCTTTAATGGATTCATCTCATTTATGGCCTGTTGTATCTCCAAATCTGTGACTCTCCTTCCCATCATCTGCTTTTGTGCATTGCTAATTTCAGGGAATCTCCTTGCTTCCAGCAGTGCTAATTGTTGGTTTCCATTGGCCGTGTACAGCTTCCGGAAATAAGCAGAGGCAAGGCTTTCTAAGTTCTTCTGGCCTGTAATGTTATCCCCTTCATCATCCTTCAATTCCACAATCCGGTTGCAGTTGCCATTGGTTCACACCATTCGATGATAGAAGTTAGTGTTCCCTAGGCCAGGGCCCCATTGTTGTCATCTTCTTCTATTCTCCAGCCATCCTCCGGCAGCGTCAGTGTTTCTTCCCCACTTTCGCCTCCCGTCTGCCTCTCCTCCTCCTCCATCAGATCTAGTGGAACATTTTCCATGGGCATGTCCCCAATTCCACTACTCTGACCCGACTCCATTTTTCTTTCATCTGGTGGTCGTGTTGGATTGGGTTTTGAACTCATGAGGACTATAACCACTTTGTGCTTGCTTAGATCTAAAGTAGAGTGGGCTTGAAGTACACTATAATGGCTCATCCCTTCCACCTGGTCTTCTTCCATATGGTTTTGGGTTTGGCTTTTTGGGTCCGTCTCCTACCTCCTTACTTCCACTATTTGGGCCTTACCCCTGTTGGGGGCCTTGGGCTTGAACTACTGGGTTGATCCAACATGGAGCCTGCAGGCCTCTTTCTATCATTTGCCAGGTTTGCCATTCCATCCTTGGCCTTATTTTGTGTTCCCAAACCCTTACTCTCTTGAGCTGTCTTTGACCGTATTTTTGAGATTCTGGGACTAACCTCAACTCTACCATTCTTCCCCGTGACTCTCATGGGTCCCCCCCTCTGATTGGTCCTTGTCAGCTGCCTTCTCTCTCTAACATTCTGGTTCCATCTCCTGCAAAGGACCGAATCGTGACCCACCCATTGCTCCATTTGTCCCATCATTTGCTGGTTAGTTGAAACCACCTGGTCCCTCATGACACATGGCCTTCCCCGCTTCGCAACTTGCATCCATGGGCCATACCCAGCCCTTCCAGCCATCCCTACAGTGGTGGTCTTGTTTTGTTCGCCGGAATCTGCCATCCCTGTCTCCTCCAGCACTACCTATTTTTTCTCTGTACACTGACCTGTCAGATGGCCATACCTCCCGTAGTTGTAGCAGATCATCTTTAGGTTCCCATATTCTATCCTTTGAATCCTGTCATCCAAATCAAATTGGGCTTTCAGGGGTTTGTCGAGATCAATCTCAATCACAATTCTCGCAAATTTGCCCATGGTCAATGCTGCTGTTTGGTGATCTATGTGAACAAACCTTTCCAGCAGTCTTCCCAAGCTTCTGAAGACCTGTTTGTTGTAATAATCCACAGGATTCCAGGGAACCTGATCCAAACCACCATTGATTTGATCTTATTATTTACTGCATTGAAGTTATGAACCCATGGTTGGACATGTAAGTATCCATTCAGCAGCACCCACGGTCCTCCGGTAAGTGCATGTATTGCGTCCTCTTTCCTTGCAAATCTGACAAGAAAATAGCCACTGTCGTAATACATCTCCGACTGACCCTCAGACTCTGGCCATAAGTTTTCTAGTCTATTGCTTAGAGTGGCCGTTGTCACCTTCTGGTCGTCATTAGCTTAACATACACTGCATAATTCTCCTACGGCTTGGCCATCATCTCCTTAACACTTTGAAAAAACTTGATCTTAGATTTGTTTCCGTGATCTATAACTTCCATATCATCCTCAAGGATCTCAAAATCTTCCTCTTCCTCAAAGATTGGGATGTCCTTCTTCTTCCCTTGCCTGACCAATCTATCCCGAAAAGTCCTCCTCAGGGGCATGCCTTGGCCACCCGGGGTTTCTTGAGATCTATCATTAACCAAGGCTATTGAATCATCTTTTAGGTGTTGTTGCCTCGCCGGAATGGGTGGATCACCCTCCCCTTCTGGGGGTGTGACATTTAGTCACGGTCAAAGGGTGTGCACTTGAGAGCGTTCTTGTGAGGGATTTCTAGAGAGAGAGAGAGAGAGAGAGAGAGAGAGAGAGTCAAAAAGGTCCTTCCCTTGTGGATTTCTTCTTACCCACACTGGATAAATGAGGGGCGTTTTGCCGGGTTTCCCAACTTGTTTCTGTACGGTTGGCAGGAACGCTTTTGGCTGATTTCTTTCTGAGCGCTTTCTTTTCTCGTCGCTCTTATAGAGTTACAGTCACAGCTTGTCAGCTTCACGTATTTTCTCCATGAGTTTTCACCGCCGTCGAGTTTGTGCGATCTTTCAATTTTCCTTCTCGGTTGTAAATTCCTCCTTCTACCCACCTCGGTCTGAAATTCCTTCTCAGTTCTATAAATCCAGTTTTGAGCTCTATTTTCTCAGAAAAAAAAACCCCAAAAAACAAAAGGCCACAAAGCTGCTTGCCTTGTAGCAGTTGCTTTGAGGAAACAGGAATTTTTCCTGGAAGGTTAGATTTTTGTCTTCCCTCTAAATAAATTGATGGTTCCTCTTTGCGAAAAATTCTCTAAGTTCAGATTGCGGTCATGGTTTTGTTGCAAGTCAGGTACTTGTTTTTAAGTCCTCAGTAGGGTCAATTATTTAGCTACTGAGTTGAACTGAAACATTCTTTATTTTCATTTCCTTTCCCATTATCTGAATCTTCATTCCTCTTTGCTTGAGAGTGTTTTTTTTTTTAAAAGTAAATAAAAATAAATTCACAGTTAGTGCAGGTCTTGGATTGTATGCGAGTATTTGTTTTTTTGTTATGAGAAAATTAGGTTCTATTTAAGGCGAAAGTAGGATATAGGGGTGAGATAAAACAGGACAAAGAAATGGGACAAGAGTTGTCAATAGGCATCTTTTATCAATTAGTTCTGGAGAGATTCCCAATCAGCATGTTAGCAATCTTGTAAAGTTGGATTGTTTATTGTGTCAAGAATTATTTCTGTCTTATTCCATCAAAAAGAGTGATTGGTTTTCAATGTGAGACCATATCTGTGCACAAATATACCTGCTTAATGTGAAATGTTTACTTGGCTGTTCAATTATTTCTGATTAACATATTGTAGTCATACAAACAAATAACAAAACCACATTTCTCCTGACTTAAATCTTCTTCGGGATTAAATTTTTCCCATTTTCTAAACCAGACCAACTCGCATTCCATTTTAAATCAGCTATAGTTTAACCTTTCTTATGTATTAAAAGTTGGCTCATTGTGTGACTTACATTACATAATCATCATTTGTAAAGGAATGAAGTTAGTTCAGTAAGATCATGTGAAGTTTGTTCTGCAAAGCGTTTGATGTCCTTGTACTACCCTTGGTGTGTCTTGCAATCCCCTTTTAAATGTGTGCAAAACTCTTACTGGGTAATGTTAGCTTCTGTAAAACTGGATATTGCTTAGACGATTGTAATTAGTCATTTCTCTAGAAGGTTCCCTCTTTGCTAATTCAAAAAGTGATTAGAAAGTATCTTAGTTCTGTCTTCCGGTAAATATTAATGCAAAAGCTTGGCAGTAAAAAGCAATTAGAAATAAACTACAACGACGATTAACGATTGGGCTCAATGCTCACAATTCTTAGTAAATTGGAAACTTATGTTTTGTTTGGACATTGATTCTTTGTTTTATTTAGGTATTTTAAACTCTTCTGGTTAGACTGCATCTTTTGCGGTCCCGGAGCCTAGTATTTTGCTTATGGTTTGACAGTATAATACTGAAATGAAACCCAAAATAGGTGAATTGAGAAAGAAACTGTTCTCCTTTCTTATTTATGAACACATGAGGATTTAGAGTAGTATTTGGTTTATAAGAAAATTTGGAAAATGCATTGAAGTAGATGTGTTAAATTTCAATGATGCATGTTGGATTGATTTAGTTGTAAATTATCTTTCTTGCTGGTATTAATCTTTGAAACATCTTTAGTTTGATTTGTGAAGTTGGACGCATATTATTGAAAGAAAATGGGGAAACTAAGGAAAGTATGATCAGTAGTTTAAATAACTAGTTTAAATGAATGATGTAGATATGATTATGGATTATGTATTTCTTTTGCAAAACCTGGATTTACATTTATGGTATTTGACAATTGGAATATATGGGTTTCCCTGATGAAGAAGGATGGAGTAAGCAGGATTTTCTAACGTTTGATGTACTATATTGAAAGTTTCAGTATTCCTATTTTCTCTTTTGTTTTGTGTAAAATTTTACTCATGCCCCTTCAAGGTGTGGTTTTAATTTGCCTTTGCGGTTTATTAAATGGTGTCCTGGACTTCTAAAAACTTGTTTGAAACAGAGCAAATGTACTTTGTGTTCTGAAAATGCAGAAATCCAAGTTCACATCCCTTTGTTGAGAGACTCGTTTCTTCCATGACATAGAACGAACGTGGGTGTTTAAACACAGACCGTAGGTTAAGAAACCTCAAGTAGCAGCAGGGAAAATTTAGGAAAAATCTTAGAAAGATAGCTTAAAAGAAGTAGTATTGCAGCGGAAAATTAAAGGGTAACCAACTAAGAATCACTCTTAGTCGTCAAACCTCAGGATTTGAAGCTGTATCACACAACTTTTGCAAAGCAAAGATTTTTGCAAGAATTTTATTAATCAACGTCTAAAAATCCCTGGAAGGGATACAACCTTATTTATAGGCATAAAAAGACTTAAACCAAAACTTATTAGGAGTCTGATTTGAAATTCCATAATCTTCTCCCTTATTACCTAATAACACTTAGAAACTAAATAGGAAACAAATACTTAAACTAATGTCCTGAAACTAGAAAATCCTGCAGCAATGCAAAAGTACTAAAATACCCTATACTTAAATATTGAAAAATAAATATGAAAATAACTTAAAATATATCCAGCAACTTATTCAAGCTCCCAGGAAGACTCTTTTTCACCAAGATGATTCCATATAAGCGTTTGAGCTTTAGAACCCCTCCTAGTATAATACTTAGTATTTTTCAACCATTTGTCCCCATCATTTCCCCCCGGCTTGAAAGAACTCGAATCCGACGAGTTAAAAGCTTGATATCTCTCATAGAAATCGGGATCCGCTGCTGAAATTCAGATTCAGTGATCCAAGTGCAATCTGACCTTGGTCGCCCTTCCCAATGAATTAGAAATTTCTGATAACCCCCAGCTCTAGTAGACACAATTTGATGGTCCAAAACATCATGAATTTTGTCTCGAGCATGTGGAATAGGTGGTAAAGAAACTACGGGTAATGTATCCGCCGAAACCTCATCATGACCAGAATAGCGTGTCAAATCCTCAATATTAAAAACATTGCTAATGCCATAGTCATCAGGTAGGTCAAGAACATAGGCATTAGAACTAATCTTCTTGAGAATCTTGTAAGGCCCAGCTTTGCGCGAAGCTTCTTGTAAGATCCAGGTGGATACCTCTCAAGACGTATCCTCACCAAAACTTCATCTCCCTCTTCAAATTCAGCAAATCTATTCTTCAAATCGGCATGGGACTTGTATTGTTCATTGCTGATAGCTATTCTGCGCCGAACTTCATCATGAATCTCCAAAATATGTCTAGAAAAAGCCACAGCTTCTGCACTAGGACGTGCACTGGAAGGCAATGCCGCTAGATCTATAGGCTTCCGAGGATTAGCACCAACTACTATCTCAAAAGGACTGTAACCAGTAGACCTATTTACTGAACTGTTGTAAGCAAATTCAGCTACGGGTAACACTTGATCCCAGAGAGATGTATGATCTTCTACCAAACACCTAAGAAAATTTCCAAGGCTGCCATTAATAACCTCTGTTTGACCATCTGTTTGGGGATGAAAAGCAGAAGAAAACTTAAGATCATTTCGCAGCATCTTCCATAGAGTTCGCCAAAAATAGCTCATGAATTTACAATCTCGGTCTGAAACTATAGTTTTAGGCAACCCATGTAGTCGGACAACTTCTTTGAAGAAAAGTCTAGCTATATGTGTAGCATCCGATGTCTTGGCACATGGAAGAAAATGAGTCATTTTTGAAAATCTATCCACAACCACAAATATTTAATCAAAACTCCGTAATGTTTTTGGCAGCCCTAGGACAAAAATCCATACTCACATCTTGCCAAGGTGCATGTGGGATTGGCAATGGTGTGTATAAACCAGTATTTTGCTTTTGTCCTCTACCCAACTGACATGTTCTACACCTAGCAACAACTCTGCCCACATCTCTCTTCAAACTTGGCCAATAAAACCTATCCTCCACCAAGGCAATGGTTTTATCTCTGCCAAAATGTCCAGCAACACCCCCTCCATGCAGCTCACGAATCACTTCCTCCCGGAGAGAGGTATTAGGCAAACAGAGACGTATTCCTTTGAACAAATACCCATCATGTACTGGAAAAATCAGGATAACCAACATGTTGTCCAGCCTTTATGTCTGCATATATAATCTGAAAATCTTTGCAACTAGGGTAGTCTTGCTTCAGGGACTCAAAACCAATTACTTGCACAACTATAGAAGTAAGAACATGATGCACACAACTAAGAGCTAGGGCTGGCAATTCGTGTGGGGTCCGGGTTGGCGTGTCGGGTTGGACCCGAACCAGTATAATTTATAACCAACCCGGACCTGACCTGTATAAATATACAGGTTGAGTTTTACAACCCTAACCTGACCTGAAAATAATCAGGTCACCCGTGACCCGACTTGCTAACCCGAAATTCCGGAAAAAAAATTCAGAAAAACAGAAAATTCAAAAAGTTTAACCAAATCACAGATTACAAGTCTTAAACTTCAAATATTGTCAGATGGCAAATTACCACTTAAACTCCACATTACCAAATAACAACAACCTTGATCGGAATAACTAAATATCCAGCAATTCAACATTCAACATTCACAAATCTAAAACAATAAGCGAGAGAGGGGAGCTTGGGCTTCAATATCAGTAGAAACTTGAATCTTGAGGTTTCTCTCATCAACTCCTTGAATCTCAGCTCCTAGAAACAGGAAGCAGTTGAGCTGCAAGCAAAAAACAGCCTCGTCAACTCAAATGAAAAATATTTCTGAAGTCTGAACTACTACGAGTAGAAGGCAAAGGTGCAAAGCAAACCAAAAATCTATCATTTAATCGACAAGAAAAATGCAAAAACATACATTATAATCAGAGCAGAACACTCAACAGTTGAAAGCTCCAGAAAAAGGCAGAAAAAATCAGCCCACTGAAGGTATTTGTAGCATCATAAAAAGATTCAAGAAATCTACATATCTTTTGAACCCTTTCCCATTCATCCGAAGTAGGACAACACTTAAAATTCATATCAGCCCACTGAAGGTGCTCAAAAGCCCTACGATAGTAGAGAGCACTTGAAAGCATCTTATAGGTCGAATTCCACCTAGTAGGCACATCTTGCTTTAAACCTCTCTTAGAATCCAAAGAGGTTTGTGCAATAGACAGCTCAAACTTTTGCTTTCTAGAACTTGAACCCTTAACAAATTTGACACATTCCCTTATTTTGATCACAGACTCATCAATTTCTTTCAAGCCATATTTAACTACCAAATTAAGGATATGGGCTGAGCATCTTACATGAAACAATTCACCTTTATACACCAAAGCATTATTAAGCATCAATTGTTTTTTCAGAATATCAACACAAGCATCATTAGCCGATGCATTGTCCAAAGTAATTGAGAACAACTTTTTTTCAATACCCCAACTACAAACCAAAGAATAGATATTTTCACTCAATGCTTGTCCCGGATGTGGTGGCATGCAAGAAAAATTCAGTATTCTCTTTTGCAATTTCCAATTAGCATCAATAAAGTGAACAGTTAAACTCAAATAACCATCAGTAACAAAGGAAGTCCAAGCATCCGATGTCAAGGCTATTTTACTAGGACAAGCAACTAATTCAGCACGAAGTCTACCACATTCTTTGGCATACATCTTCCTAATATCAGATTTTGCAGTGTTTCGAGTAAATTCAACAGCTTTTGGCTCACGGTACTTAAAAATATTCCAAATTCCTTCATACTCCACAAAAGAAAAGGGCATGTCATGTCTAATCATTGCATGAACAACTAGCTCTCTAAACTTTTCTTGAGAAAAATGTAGATTCCTAGTTCCTAAACAGGTAGCATCCTTATCAGAGACAATCAGAAACTGCCCAATATCAGTAGTAGTCATCTTCACACAACTTTTAATATGGCGAAGTAAATTACCTGTGCCATTCTCACTTCCAGCCAAGTGTTTCTTAGCACATCTTTTACATTCACAGCGAAGCTTTTCATTTGGTTTCTGGGGCAGAATTCGAAAATGATGTCAAACTGAAGATGTTAACCTTCTTTTCTTTCACACCCCTTTGTTTGCAGGAGATGCTTCATCACCTTCTTGTGTGCCAGTTGTGTCAGTTTTACCATTGATTGAAACATCAACATCATCAGCAGCATCGGTCTCACTGCTATTAACCTCAAAACCAATATCAAATTCAACTTCTTCGTCAATTGGTTCCATTCCTAGAAACCAGAGATAAACAGACAAAAAATTTCAGTAACGACCCAACTTCAGAACAAACAGAGAAGCACAAGGTTAACACTTAGAAGCCAAAAAAAAAAAAATAGAACATAATATCATAACCAAATTAACTAACTCGATAACTCTGGACAAGGTGCATACTGTGGGTCAAATTTGAATGAATGACAGGATAATTAACAAAGCAAATCAACTAAAGATTAACTAAATCAACTAAAGATTAACATGCAGGGCTAAACTAAATCTTAGTTCTATCCCTTAAAAGTTAAAAGCTTCAAACCGGGCTCACGATACCAACTACAAATTCGACCCACAGTTAAGCTTTCTTTCTTTTCTTGAAATTTACAAATAAAAATCCAACCGATAAGGTGACTTTTGAGAGAATGATAGAAGAAAGAGGAGAACAAGAATAAAAAGAAGAAGAAGAAGGAGGAGGAGGAGGATGGTGAGACATACCTGATTCGGTGACCTTGAGGAGCTGAATTGAAGCAACAACGAGCTGCCATTGATGCGAGGTTGATGATTGATGATAGAGAACACCGTGAAGATGACGCGAAGAAGAAGAAGGAGGAGGAGACCGCCGTGAAGATGATGATTGATGAGCGGGGAACACCAATTTGTGATAGACGGCGGGAGAGGTTTTAAGGTCAAAGTGGAGGGGAATCAGCGGAAGTTGGGGGAGCTGAACTACGGCTACGGATTGGACTTGGAGAAAATCGGAGCCGCCGCCGCCGCCGCCGCTGGGAGGACGGAAACCCTAAAGGGAAATGGAAAATTTGTGCCGGATGAAGAATAAAGAGTACATATATGAGCTGAAATTAGGGTTGGGATAGCAGTGAAATTTCTAAATTATCCCTACAGTATATAAAATTTACATATTCGCGGGTAACCCGAGTAACCCGCAGGGTTGACCCTAACCCGACCCGTATATTAAACGGGTCCATATATTTAACCCTAACCCGACCTGTTTAATATGTATGTCGTGTTCGTGTCGGGTTCGTGTCAAAATTTCGAGTCGTGTCAGAGATTGCCAGCCCTACTAAGAGCATCAGCCACCTTATTCTCAGTCCCAGCCTTATGTTTAATCACAAAATTATACTGCTGTAAGAAGGAAACCCACTTCCCATGTTGATGACTCAACTTCTTTTGTGAATTAATGTATTTTAAGGCCTCATGATCTGAATATAGCACAAATTCCTTATAAATAAGGTAATGATGCCAATGACGAAGTGATTGAATAACAACATAAAACTCCTTGTCGTATGTAGAATACTTCTGCTTAGCATCATTCAGTTTTTCGCTGAAATAAGCTACAGGATGCCCTTCTTGGCTGAGAAATCCTCCAATGCCAACATTTGAAGCATCACAAGCTACCTCAAAAACTTTAGGAAAATCAGGTAACTTAAGCACGGGTGCCTCAATCATCTTACTCTTTATCTCTTCAAAAGCTTTTTGAGTAGATTTGTCCCACTGAAAACCATCCTCCTTCAGGCAGTTGGTTATTGGTGCCATGATGGTACTGAAACCTTTGATAAACCTCCGATAAAACGTGGCTAAACCATGAAAAATTCTTACCTCTTTTATAGTCTTAGGAGCTGGCCACTCTACAATTGCCTTCACCTTGTCCGAATCAGCTTCTATTGGATATGATAAATCCCAAGAAAACCACACTTGAAGTCATGAAACTGCACTTCTCGCGGTTAGCATACAACTTCTCTTGTCGTAAAACACGTAGTACTTGTCGAAGATGATCTAGATGCTCTTCCTTTGTAGTGCTCTAGATTAGGATGTCATCAAAGTAAACCACAAGGAACTTACCAATAAAAGGCTGAAGTACTTGAGTCATAAGCCTCATGAAAGTGCTAGGAGCATTTGATAAACCAAATGGCATAACCAACCATTCGTAGAGACCGTCCTTAGTCTTGAATGTTGTCTTCCATTCATCTCCTAGCCTAATTCTCACTTGATAATACCAGATCAATCTTCGAAAAGACTGTTGCTCCAGCCATTACATCCAACATATCATCAAGCCTTAGAATAGGATACTTGACTGTAATCTTGTTAATAGCTCGGCTGTCAACACACATTCTCCATGTTCCGTCCTTTTTGGATGTCAATAATATAGGAACAACACACAGACTCTTGCTTTCTTGAATGGAACTCTTTGCCAATAATTCATCCACTTGTCTCTTGAGCTCCGCAGATTCTGCCTGTCATATGATAAGCCGGTAAATTAGGAAGCTGTGACCCAGGAATTAGATCAATAGCATGCTGAATATCTCGCATAGGAGGTAATCCACTAGGTAAATCTTCAGGAAAAACATCAAAAAAATCTTTCAGTAGTGTAGCAATCTCTAGTGCAAGCGTTATTGAGTTGAATAAAACCTGACCTTGCATCTCTTTCAATATCAAAGCCATCATGAATCCTTTTTGCTTGCATGCTCTCTCAAATGGCTTTTTGCTGAGAATTTGCAAAGACTTGTGTTTTGTTATAGCCCCTTTACTTGGCTTGGAATCTGGTTGTTTCTTCGCAAGTATATGTTTCTTAAGAGTTTCTGGGCTTTGAGGCTTCAAAACAATTTTCTTACCCTTGAATGTAAAGGCATAAGTGTTGGTTTTCCCGTCATGCGTCACCTCCTTGTCATACAACCATGGTTGTCCCAATATAATATGAGCAACTGTCATAGAGATAACATCACACCAAACTGAGTCTTGATATGGTCTGCGTCTCAAATTCACCAAGCAACCTTATATGGCTCATGATGTGGCTCTGTAGGAAGTTTGAGCTTCTCCACTGTAGATTCTGAAACTACATTCATGCAACTTCTTCTGTCAATGATGAGCATCTTGGTGGCACTTCAACAATATACCAATGTCTGAAATATTGAAGTTCGCTTCCAATCTTCTTGGGCAGCCTTTGGCATACTGAGAATGCGCATCACTGCATGTAAATATGATGTGTCTGTACCATGGATACCAAGATCTTCTCTGACACACACTCCCATCTCCTCTCCATCATCATTATATTCTGGCTCCTCATACTCTTCATCCACAGGTTCACCAATATGTAAATTCCTCTTAGTTGGACACTCATAAGCCATGTGTCCCTTGTTTCCACACTTAAAGCATTCATCCTTCTGGCCCCTTTCCTTCAGCAAAGGTACTTTATTTCTTCGTTCAACAGTTACTTCAGACTTTGTGAACCTCCCAGGTGCTGTAAATTACCTATTGGGCATCTCCCCTGCTTGGTTGTTCACTCTCCTCAAAGGCTGCAGAACCTTCAAGCTTTTCTCAAACCTTAATGCAAGATGAAAAGCTTCTTCTATGGTCTTTATCTGGTGAGTAACCATATGATTACATATCTCTGGTCTTAATCCTTGCTTGAAACGATCTAAAGCCACCTCTTGGCTCTCAACAGCTCTGGATCGAACTTTCAACTCTTCAAATCGATTCATATAATCGATCATTGCCATGCCTCCTTGCCTTAGGCAACTCAGATCATCAAAAAGTTCACCCCTTAACTCTGAAAATTCATATTTCTTTTCCAGCTTGAATTTCATATACTCCAGGTAACATTCGGATCTAGCCCTGCTCAACTCCTTCCCACCATATTAGAGCTTGTCCCTTAAGTTTCATTATGGCAAACTTTACCTTCCTCTCTTCAGGCATCTCATACCAACTAAAGCAACGTTCAAACTTCTTCATCCAATCAATAAAAACTTGAGGATCAATTTTTCCTTCAAAATCGGGTACCTCCAACTTTGTTCTCCTAATAATATCTTCCACAGGATCAGAGACATATGGGTTTCGCCTTTCCCATGATTTCTCGTCCTTTTGCTCTAGGAGCTGATGGATCTCATTCTTGAAAGAAGCATGTGATTGCTGCAGTTGTGCAATCTTGCTTGGCGTCTCCAGAACTTCTGTTGCAACCCCCTTGCCATCACGTTTAGGAATTTTTTTATGGTAATCCAAGTTCTTTGATACCAGCTTCAGAAGTTGGGTTGAGCAATTGGGTCTCAATCTCAAGCATTCTTTCTTCTAACTCTAGCAATTTCTTTGCCATGGTAGTTAAAACATCCTGGCTGCTCAAGTTTTATGGATCAATTTCATTCCATCTCTTGAACTCTCTTCTGTGATTTCTTTTTGTAAATAACTTCTACACTTGATGGAATTTATCTCAAGTTTTATGGATCATAAAATATTGTAACAGTTTGTCTGAAATATGGATTTGACCATGACTAACCTGTCATGAAATTTTGGAACTTCTGTTATGAGGTGTTGTTTTGGAGAATGTTTTTCTCCTGATTTTTAAAATGTTTTTTTTTTTGGATTTCTTTGGATAAAATTATACCTTGGAAAGCAGCTTGGCGGCCTGCTCATTCTTGGAAAACGAAATGAGGGCTTTGTTAGAAATAATGATGAGGGCATTTGTCTATTTTCTTTAACAAATCATTTCTGTCAAAATTATGAATAAATTATGATGTATTCGCACTTATTCCAATTAAGCATTCCTTATGTTAGAAATTATAACATATGTTGAGGATTAGTCAACAAATTATAATGATTATAGTGATTATTCTGTGAGAAGGATATAAATTATGACTACCTTAGGATCGGAATAGTAAATTATGAATAAATATTAGACATGATTTTTTGTAGCAGCACCTTGGCTTTCATTTTTCCTTTCCCACGCTTTCAGTTAAGGTTTCATGTCTAAATTCACTTCAAATTACTCAAAATCCACAAATTCAACTCTTTAGATATTCTTAAGAGAGAGTAGGGGCTAATACGTAAAATTCATATTGCGAACTGTCTGAAATGGCTGCTCAATCTGATGATGCTCATGCTTCGGCATTCTCAGCTCCCGAGGTTCGATCTCACACTCTAGTCCTCATTTGTCTAAGTCGAATGATATCTTGTTTGATTAAGCAGTTCTGTGAACGAGAACTTCTCTAATGTTAGTCATTGATTAATGCCAAGGACTGGGTGATTTCGGCCCTTTCAGACCACAAATAGCCACCCAGGTACCCATTTGGTTGGCTGCGACTTTGAAGAAGAGAGGGAAATGCACAATTCAGCCCCCTGAGTGGATGTCTGTAGGTCAGTTCTTCAATTTCAAATGTTTTTACCTTAATATTATCAATTTTCATGTTTATGCTTTTAATTTGATAGGTTTAATTACTTTGTCTTTTGACTGTCACATTTTGGAACATTCTCTTACACTTGTTCTAAACAATGAACCTCCAGCTTACAATGAATCTAAGGTATCAGGAAAAGACATCCATGCTGTTAGGGAGGGCTTCGTGTGATGGTATAATACAATAATCGTTTGTCCTGTTTTCCTCTGTTCTAATGGTTTTGTGGCTGCTTTGTGGAAAAGTTGACTAAAGTTTTGGAAACTGAGAGAGATACAGAAAAGTTTCAACCCTTGCCGTTCCATTATGTGGAAATATCAAGGCTTCTTTTTGATCAGTAAGTTGGTTCAAATGGTATTGTCTTTGTTTAAAAACATTACCTGACTTGGTTTCAGCTTATTGACAATAATTTGTTCTTCTTATGCAGTGCGGTGGGAGATATACCGGATGTGTATCTGGTTAGTTTAATTGATGCAGCAATAACGCCTTACTATATGAGCATTTATTCAGGCTTATTTAAAGTTTTCCATATTCTTAGGTAAGGTCGCTCATTGAGGACATCAAAGATGTGCGGTTTCACAAGATTGGGACTGGCTTGGAGATAATTTCAAAAGAACGTACGTACGCTTTAAGGGTATGATTGTTTTCATCCTCGCTACAAAATTGTTGTTATATTGATAGAGAACAGGTAGAAAAATATTGATTGGATAAAATAAGGAGATGAGAAATTAGATACAGTCGCATATCTTTTGGCATTCCAAATGAGTGATTATTTAGGCTTGGTTACATCATAGTATTTGTAAACTTTGTGTTTGCTCATTTGGAAGCACTTATATATATTTAGTGTCCCTTGTCTAGCAAACTTATCTATTTTAAAAATCAACCACATAACTATACTAGTCAGGGAATTGATTTATCCATCTTCTTGTAATCTAATCCTCTTATGTCTTGTCTTGTTTTGTTATAGGAGAAAAGCTATAGTAGATTTTGATGTTAAAGATGTGATAGTATGTTCTGATTTTCCCTATTAAAATTGTAAGCATAGGTCATTTAGTGGTATAATGATTCTTTTGCAAGTTGCAAACTGATAAGGTTTATGCAAGTTGTATGGGGTTGGTGTTTTTACTTTCAGAAAAGAGAACTTCTCTACTTTATGTTCCTGATTCCACCACCAATTTGCAGCTAAAAAATTTGTCAGCAATGGAAGCAAATATAGTGAGGCCTTTTGTCACAAGGTCTCTTCAGACATTTTATAAGCTCAGTAGTCCGGACATGATACAGGATCAAGATGGTACATCAAGTAGACAGCCTCAAACTGCAAACCGAGGGCCAAGAGTAACTTGCTCTTTAGTCTTTCCTCTCTTTTGTGTTTTTATTTCTTTTCTTCCTTGATAGACAAAGTTGCTGAACTAACAGTGTATAGTATGGTTGACGATTGTCCATGAAAAAGCTAATTAGCTTATTGGATTTTCTGCAGTAGCAAATATTTGGATCTGTTATTGCTTACTAAAATTTTTTGTTTTGTTGACTCAGCGGCGATTGAAAGATAGGTGAGGGAGTTCTCAATGATACTTCCTCTTGCTTCGGGATTTCCTCAATGTTGTTGCTGATGTAGCGAACTGTTCGATGATTTGAGTAAGTTTATGTAATTATTGTTCCTTTTTATGACTTCGTTATATGAAAATGTATTAGTTTGATTATTTTAAGATGGATGTATTTTGCCTACAACAATGCCTTTCTGAAAAGATTTTTTTTCAATTAAGCTTCACATACATTCTTCTGTGAGAAAGATGAGAGAAGATACATCAAATTTGTATACTGATTAAACGGGTCTTAAAAGGTGTCATGACTGCGGGAGTTTTACTGCCGCTTTCAAACTTCTTAGAATGTCAATGGAACTTGGGATTATGCATTTGTTACTGTTACTGATTAAGATCTTTAATCCAACCTAACTCTATGGCCTGAATGATCCTAATGAGAGAACAACATACTCTAAAAATCAACATAATATCATGAAACTTAATTCATTAAAATTACAAACTAAACCAAATAGTATCATCTTATCCACTACATTACAGATTACTAGAAAAATTGGCTTAGGGAATGCCGATGGGGTGTTCTTCTTATAGTAATGGTAGAAGGTGCAATGAACCTGACACCAAGGAGACGATGTAATCAGTAGTCAGTACCATAGGAGCTCATTGGTGTATCTGGTGGCCCTGTGTGATGTGGGTTGGTCCAATTAGTGCTCATGAGTTGTGGTTTTGTAGTTATACGAGCCAGTAATATTGGAGTTTTGAGTTATACATGGTTTCCCTCTTCATATAGTTGTCTGTCTCGAATGATCCGCTGATTGTGATGCTCCTACTTTCATGTGTTAATCCGTATGGCAGAATATTGTTAATGTATTGGAATGAACATTGTGCTTTGCCCTGGTTTCCACAGCTATTTATTGATCATTTTTAAACTGGTTTATACCACCTCTGCTACAGCCCCTGCTGCTGAGGCAAATGAAGAAGAGAAAGAAAAAGATCAAGAGGCATCCAATGTTGGCAGTTTCCTTTGAATTGAAAACAAGCCTTGTAGTTCTTAGATGTGTAATCAAATACTAGAGAAGCTGCCTAGTACTTGATTTTGGTTGGCAAACCAATCAATCACTATGTACTTAACCATTGTGGTTTTATTGATTCCCAGCTCTGTGATGAGAATCATATAGCCTTCCATGATGATTCTCCTAGTGAGGGGATTGAGCTAGTCTTTCATTCTAGTTTTGGAATGCCAAGTTTACTTTGCAGACCAATCAAGGAAGAAAGGATGGATCTTGACTACCTATGTGATAGGGAGTTGGTTCAAGAGAGCTATGATCAAGATGATGAGAAATGTCATCAAATTTGGGGTTCAAACAAAAGGAGATGATTCACTCATGGAAAATAAGTGCTCAAGAGTTTCAAGGGAGTTTGACTCTAGGTGCTCTATGAAGATCATTGATCAAGCTAGAGAGAAGAGTCATTTAAGTTCTTGAATGGACGGCCTATTTGATCAAAGTATTCAAGAGTGAGTCCATTGCTACACAATTGGATAGGTTGCAAACTATCTCAATTATTTCAAGTGTTTTTCCAATCTTTTGGAGTCAATAAAGAGAATTCTACAAGTTTTGGAGTAAATTGGAGTTATCTACAACTTGAGGGGCGCAAGACCAATATTCCACCTTTAGAAGGGCGTTCAAGACATTTTACTTCAATATTTGGAGCTGATTTTCGAGAATTAGAGTATTATCTAGTCTAGGAGTTATTTTCGAATTTTATCTAGTTAAATAAGTCATGTGGACTGAATTAAACTAGAGTGTTTTGATTAGAAGTTTTAGATTCCTTCTAAGTATTATCGTATTTAAGGATAAGTCATTTAGATAAGGTTTCCTAGATTTTAGATAGAGTCAAAGAGATCAAATACTCTTCTACTTCTACTCCTACATGAGATAAGATTAGAGAGTCCTAATTGGTCTTCTTTTGGGTACTTTGGCCGAAATTGTTAGCCTATAAATAGGGGGGATGGCCAAAAATTAAAGCACCCATGTGTGGTCATTTTGAGTCTTCTCTAATGAGAGTTTTTCATGTGAGGAATTTTTGTTAAATGGTGTGTCCATTTTTCGTGTCAAGTATGATTTAACCAAGAGGGTTTTCATCTTGTCTTGGATCTTTTGATCTTGCAGAAACCGTTCTTTTTCAAGTTTGTTTCTTGATAGAATTGTTTTAAAATTAAAATTCTTATTTTCATACTACTTCTAGTAGTTCGAGAGTTGAGCCTTTCTTTTGGCTATGGTTTTTGAATTCATGATGTGTGTGTTCATGAGTTCCTTTGTGGGGTTTCTCGTACTTTTGTTGGATGAGTTGTGCTTTGGCATAAGCATTTTGAGATAGTGTATGTGTTGCATATCTTTATTGGTTATGGAGATTACTAATCAATAGTATTCCTTCATAATTGAGCATTGTTTGCTCCTACCTTTCTTGAGTCTCTTGAATGATGACTGATCGAGTATATTGAATGGTGTCCTTACTATTCTTAGTGTGGGTTGTTGTTTAATTCGAATCTTTCATAGATTATGTGTTCTTCGTTTGGTTTGATTTAAAAGATAGAATTCCTTAGATAAACAATCGTCTTACTGTGAATTTTCCGTACTCTTTTGAGTTTCACGGGATAAACAACTTATCTTCATACTTTCTTGTTTGATGGTTGCATTAACGAAATTTACTTTATTTACGAGATTGCTATCACTCTGGTCCTCCATTCTCTTGTGGGATTTTGGGTCATTGAGCTTTCTTATAGGAGCAATTAACGTTGTTGGTCTTCATTACCAATTGCTAAGGAGGCCATTCTTATGAGCCATTATTCTTAGGCTGGTAAATGCCATTCAAAGTTTATCGTAGAAGGAGCAACAATTCAGCAAATTGAATATTATTGTGTTGAAAACTCAAATAAAAAGAAAATGCAAGCAATCACTTAGTTAATTTCCTCAATAAGATAGAACAATGATCAGATTACCTAGTTTTAACTCTGTTCGTATGTAGCAGCGAACAAATTGGTGAAGTTTATCCATTGAAAAGGCTTTTGGTTCTTTTTTTTTTTTTAAGCGGGGTATTGATAATCAATAGTCATACCGTATACAGTGTTCATTATTCATTTCTTGCGGGAAACAAATTCAATTATGTTATTGCTAGATTCATTTAAAAATCACTTTGTACACAAAGGGGAAAAAAAAGTGAATCACAAAACAGGTTATTGAACATTTGGTTAATTTAATCACATGTTATCAATCGAATTTATTTACAAAGCAGGATCATTTACTAAGCAAAAAATACATACGAGGTTATTATGTTACTTTTGGTCGTTATCATGATTGAAAACTATTTTTCACATGAAAAACATTTGAGCTGCTTCTATGGGTAATTTTGTCATTTTATATTTTTTAAAAAAATTATAATTTTTTTATATTTCCTAAATTAAGTATATTGATATTAATATAATTACTAAATTTCAAGAATTAATTTACCTTTTATACTTAAACTTCTAAGCTATAAAAAAAAAAACATAAAAACTACACTATTAAAGAGTGCAAATATTTATTCATGAAATTCAATAATAGCTTATATTGGTAAGCCATTGGAAATTAATAATAACGATTATGGTGAACAAAATAATTAACAATAATAATTATTTTAAGGTAACATTTGTATTTTGTAACCAATTCATGTATTATAAGTAGTCAAGAAGAAAGGACTTGTCTTAACTGATTTTTTAGGATTAGTTTTTCTTTTCCTTTTTTTTTTAAAAAAATAGTAAACTAGTAATTTTCATGTTTAATTCAAATTGAAATTTTTTTCTTCATTTTCTTTATTTTTTTAATAATTTATAAGTTGAAATACAAAAGGTAAATTAATTCTTGAAATTTATCAATTATATTAGTAGCAGCAATTATAAGTGATGAAGTATGAGAGGAATTGTAAACAAAAATAAAAAAAATAAAAAATAAATAAATAAATAAATAAACAAAAAAAAATAACAATATTACCCCTAGAGCCAACTCGCATGTTTTGCATATGAAAATAGCTTTCCGTTATGATTTAAAGGCCAAAAGTAGTAAAATCACCTTAGATGGATTTTTGTTTAGTAAAGAGTCGAACTGTTGAACGCCCTTATTTTTTTATTTGAGCGCCCGCGAAAGACCAATACGCCCCTGAAAATGGAGGTTAGTTTTTTTTTTTCCGGAAAAAGGGGGGGTGGCAAGGGAGAAACGCGCCAGCCGTTAATGGCTGGCACTGGAGAAACACGCCATCCCTTAAGGGGATGGCGTGTAATAAGCTCGCCTCCCCTTACAGGGGAGGCGAGGCAAGCCTTCGCCAATGGCGAAGGCGGTGGCGCCATATTCGGCGCCACCTCTCTCATGGTTGGCGAGCAAATGCTCGCCAACCACCGTGTTGGTGGCGCCCAAACGAGCGCCAGCCAATTTTTTTTTAAAAAATTTTTTTAATATATTTAATATTTATTAGTTTAAAAATTATTATTATTAGTTTAACAAATTTAATTAATTCATGTATTTATTTTATTTGAGTATTTGTTTTGTAGTTTAATATATGTTTAGAAAATTAGGGTTTAAGCTAGATATTTAGAGATTGTTTTTTAATTACGTATACTGTTATATGTTAATTACGTAGTATGCTCGTAAGAAATACTTTGTTTCTTGTTAAATGGGTATTTAGGTTGTATGTTAATGCGTATAGTTGTTAGGGATTAGGATATTTGTTAAAATAATGACTTTTTATTAATAATATTTTTAGTTAGTTATTAGTATATATTAATTATTTTTAAAGTAAAAGATCATTATATCGGATTCTATGACCATGTTTACTCATATCAAATTAATTGTGGTTTAAAAATGTTAGAGTTAACTTAAGTTATGATATAATTTGTTTTTAATGTGTGTGTGCAGAATAGTTTTGATCAGGGGGGTGGAATCGATTATAGTGTGGCTTTTGCTACAGACGAGACTTTCACAACGAACACGGAAGCTATTGAATATGCGAAGGGTATTGCGAACATCTATAATATGGTGTTAAGTATATCCTCGCATAAGGATAATAGTACTATACTCCTTTGTAATAAAGGGGGGCGGTACCAAGGTGAACAGGTGGATGAAAACGTGCGGGCCCGAGCCAATACAAAGACACAGATGACCGGATGCCAGTTTCGTGTTACTACTTACAAGATGTATGATAGGTGGGCAATCTGTGTATATCCAGGTCCGTGGGGAATGCACAACCATTCATTGAAAGATCCACCTCGAGTCAGGAGGCCATTGAGTACTGAAGTAAAAGAGCTTATTAAAGAGTACTCCAAAGCTGGGACTAAGGCAGTCCACATTTTACGGGCGATATGGACACAATTTCCCGATGAAAAGGTAACCGCTAAACAAGTCTACAACTACAGAAATTTTTTGCGTAAGGCGGGGTTTCCAATTCTAGATGACATGGCTGCCATGGACGTAGTGGGAAAGGTGTTAGAGGTCGCAGAACAGCACAAATACATCATCTTCACGGAGTGCGATGAAGAGACACAGAGGTTATCCCACGTCTTTTTCGCACATCCGGATTCTTTGTTGTTATTGCGGACGTATCCTTGGGTTGTTTGTGTAGATTCCACATACAACACAAACAAATATAAACTGCCTCTTGTGGAGTTTGTTGGAATGACCCATTGCAATCAGACATTCCTCATAGCATATGCCATTCTGAGTGATGAGACAGGGGACAGCTACCATTGGGCGCTGTGGCAGCTCCGTAACTTGTATGGTGAAGATATGCATCCGAGTGTCATCGTGACTGATCGGGAGCCTGGACTGATGAGGCCTCTTGATGATGTATTTCCATCTTCACATCACTTATTGTGTACGTGGCATGTTTACAGGGATGTTGAAAGAAATGTGAAAAGAATTTTGAATGGAAATGCTCATACAGCAAAAAGTTTCGCGTATAATGCCTTCAAAGCAGTGATCGAAGCTGAAACCAGGGACGTATACGAAGAAAGAGTGCAGTTTCTAGAGCATAATTGGATCCAATTTCAGGCCGTTCTACAGTATATTAGGAACACATGGTTAGTGGTGGCGCACAAGTTTGTCCGTGCATGGACCAACACTTATTTGCATTTTGGCAACACCACTACCTGTAGAGTGGAGAGCGCACACAAGTTGTTAAAGGAATGGCTCGTCATTCCAAATGCTTCTTTTGAAATGGTGTGGCACAGGGTTCACATGTTACTGGAGACACAGCTTACACAAATAAGGTACATGCCTGTTGATCCCTTTTTAGTTAATTTGTGTGTTTAGGTTGTTTAATTAATTTTTTTCAATTCCTGTACAGGGAGAAATTGCAAGAATCAAGGCAGAAAATAGGGAGGCAACACAACAAGTACCCTTTCTACCAATTAAGATGCAATGTTTCACACTACTGCTTGGATCTATTGAAAAATGAATTAGAAAGGATGCAACAACTCGGAGATGATGTATATTGGGAATGCAATCATTACCTGAAACAAACTCATTCCCTCCCTTGTGCATGTATACTTAAGCGTATTTTAACTCCAGCGATATTTTAACTCCAGCGATATTACGAATGCAATCATTACCTGAAACAAACTCATTCCCTCCCTTGTGCATGTAATGGAGGCCAGCGATATTTTAACTCCAAAATACTTACACCAATTTTGGAGCACACTTGACATCGGTGAGGTTACAGAGAAGGATGGTTCGGATGATGTTCCCCCTCACAGATTGTAGTTCAGCCAGTTAGTGGAAGAATTGAACGCTGCTGATGAGCCAATACAGCGCGAGATCACCAGATTGATGTACAACAAACTCCACCCGGGCCAAGCAGGATTAAATGAACCGCGGGTTGGAAAGAGAGGCAAGGGCAGACCGAAGAAGAGGGGCATCTCTAAAAAAATGCAAGACAAACCGAATGTGTGGACATACAGGGACGGCAATCAGGGTGGCACGAATACCAGCGGTTCCAGTAAATCAGGGACGAACACCCACAGTTCCAGTAGAGGGCATACGTCGGGAGCTGAAGATCAGAACAGAGGTCCGATATTACTTTCTCTTTTTAAATGTGTGATAAATTATTTTACTTTGTTACTTACCCATGCTACAACAGGTCCATGGACTGGGCAAGGTGAGACGAACAACAGCAGTTCCAATAGAGGCAACAGGTCGGGTTCCGAACCACATGTCGGAGGTAAGTTTATAATTTATATTTTTCTTAATTACTAATATATAATTTAGAAATAATGATATTATTTTACGTGGTTAAAGATGTTATAAAGACAGATTTTTTCCAGTTTAGCCACAAGAATAAGATTCCGCAGGTACTCCACAATCATGTTCAGTCATATCTTGATGTCGAACCTGACGGCAATTCTGGTTTCCGTGTCTTTGCGAGTTGTATGTTGGGCGGGCAGAATAATCACATTTTGTGCAGACAGCTATGTTATGATGAGGTTATAAATAACCCTGGCCTATATGGGAACATTTACGGGTATGCAACCAGTTTAATGTTGGTGAGCAATTGTCTTACTGTTATTAGGTTAAAAAACTTTCATACCCGTGTCTTTATGTAGGTGGGACAGATGGGCTGAGAGCCTAGAGCGTATACGGTGGACAGGCACCGCATTAGGTCACTGGATGTCGACAGATGAATTTTATCCCCTTGCTACATATTTCAATGCAGTTGTGTACTACTTCAGTACCTGCGGTGCTGGAAATCTAAACGGCACATGTTGGACTGTGCTACCACTGAGCGCACGAGGCGGGGCAACAAGACCTGAGTTCCAGATAGTTATTTGCCACCTTCATCCTTACCAACACTTCATTCGACTCAATCTGCAGGGTGATTTCCCGATTCCCCCCATTCACCTCAGTTGGAGGCATGATCGTGAAAGTAGTGTTATTGGTTGGGATGAACCTTTTGAGTCCAGACTACAGCTATGGCGAACTTTGGTACCTCGGATAAGACCCACCAAGAATTTGAAGATCTGGGGTGATCATTTGTGTGTATATATATATATATTTTTGGAAATTGGAGCACAGATGGTGACGTAAATTAAAATTGAAATTGCAAACAAACATAAGTGCATATTGTTCATAAGTACAGAATCATTGCATAATTGTACAGAATCATCATAAGTAGAATGTCATGGGGCCTGACTGTACCGGAAGATGACATCATCCAGGCGAGTATCCCACTTCTCACCTAGACCCACATCGAGCTTCTTCAAATCATCGATGCAAACTCGAGTCAACTTCTCCATCTCACGCATCCACTACAAATGTTAAATAAAACCAAATTAATCCCTTAATGATAGTACGTGTATTATTAAACAATGGGTATTTTTGTTAGAGTTGAACTTACGTATGTGGTGCAGTTCTTCCCTGGGATGCGTGATGTAGGCATACGGACTCCGGCAGTAAAAATGGATGTGAATGGCTCTGTACCGGTCGAGGTAATCTACAGTGCTGTCCTACCTCGAGAGACGATACCGGCACACAATGACTGAGGCTGATGCACTCCGACTCCGGAAATCTAACCCAACAGTTACATGTCTCGGCAATAGGACGCTCAACAAAATACTTGTGCGCATTTTTCCCGCGAAACTGAGTAACCGGTGTGAGCGGCGCACGAGGTATGTACTGCACATAACCGAGCTGGCGTAGCACTCTCTCCGGCATGTATGGCTCCTGGAAGTCGTGGTACATAATCCACCCACTGAATATGGTCCTCGGATGTGCTGCAGCCTGATCACGACCAAATGGCTCCCATTCGACCTACAAACGTTAGCAACATTTATTATAGTGTAAAAAAATAAATACCCCTTACGCAATACACGGAAATGAAATATAAAGTGTACCTCTTGCTCAGTCATCGCGTCGAGCTGCGTACGAATCTGCTGGAGACGACTATGAATAGGCCTCGGCCCCTTATAGCTAACAGGGGTCCAGTCTCGGGCTCTGGGCCAACCAACAACACCTCGACGTCCTCGCCTCTTGGAGGGCTGGAAGCATGAAAAATACTCATATATCCATGCCTGGAGAAGGGTCATACAACCAGCCATCGTGGTACACCCCGCTCGACTAGCAATACCAAGCTGACGGTAGAGGAATGCTAGTGTACCGGATCCCCAGGAGTACTCTCCAATATTGCCAATACCTCTGTGCAGCTCAGTCATAAGCGAAGCACTGATCCTGCCACCACTCCTGTCAAGGAAGAGTGTCGAGGCTAACAAGATCCACACCCAATCTTGCACCTAAACAGCGGGGAGGACCCTACGACAACACTCCTCAATCAATATGTCGCTCACACCTCCGTGGCTCCATGCACGCTTTAACATCCCAAGCAATCCCGCGACTTGCATCTTCAAAATCTCACCTTCCGCAGGTTGGATCAACAAGTCACCATCAAGGGGAATCGCCAAAATGTGTGCCACATCATGCATCATAATGGTCATCTCCCCAAACGGCAAGTGGAAAGAGTTTGTGTCGGGCTGCCACCTCTCTATGAAGACAGAAACAAGCGCAAGGTCAATGTCATCATACATGGTATCAATGAGATGATACAAACCGGTCTGCTGAATCTGCAACTGTGCGTTCTCCGGCAACCTCGCATACCATCCATGCAATCTAGACAAACTCTTCTTCGCTGGCTTAATGGTAAGGTAATCTCGTGGTTCTCCATTCCACAATTGATAAGCAGTGTGTCCAAGAAAACTAGGAATCACTGACCCATCACATGGCCCGCCAGGTACGTCGTCTGTCACAACCCAATCATCAATTTCTTCGGTAGAAACCTTAGACCGTCTGCTAGTACCTGAAACCCGAATAACGAATAGTGTATAAATACTTTATCGAATGCAATTAAGAAATTGACCAAACAGTAATGAATGCTTAACTTATTAGAAATACGTACCTGATGACGATGCATGCTGAAGAGTAGTACTCTGACCTCTATAAAGAGTACTCTGTAGACCGGGACAAACACTGGAACCACCAGGAGTGTAAGCTGAATTCAGGGCCGATAATCCAACAAGGGTCTTCCCCCCCCCCGGGTAGGATGAACTAGAGTCTGATCAACAGTACGACCAATGGGGTTCAGTACTGAGGTATCTCCAATCCGTATATCCCTCCTCTCATGCGAGGAAAACGAGGATGTGTCATCCTCCTCAGCCACATCGTCCCCCCCACTCTCAAAACTATCCTCTGCTGAATCCTCTCCTCAAAATCATCATCATCACCGTCTACGTTGGTGACTCACCAACCGGGCCAAACGTAGGATGTACATTTTCACTTTCTTTAACTTTTTTCTTTTTCGCTCGATGTTCGGCATACAGATTGCGCGTAGCGCATGCGATGTCCAGATCCCCAAGAGGCGATATCCCATCCTACAACAGTTTCAAATTTTACACGTAACTTAGATTAATTAGTTTAATACGCTTTTATATTATTCAAATATGTAATTATAATATTATCTACTCTACATCTAAAGTGTTCAATTTATTAAATCTACTAAGTCCAATTAATAATATCTACATATTTATTTTTTCTTTTTTTAACCAAAAAAATAATAAATTTACCATTTATTATTTAATTTTAACAACAACTACATAAATATTTCTTATTAACCCTAATTATCTACTAACTTCCTGTATTTTTTTAATTATAACTTATTTATTTAATTTTCCTATACTAAATATTTAATTTTTTAGCCTAATTACAATTAAACCGACTAATCCAATAAATATATTTTATATAATTATATTAATTATAATAACTTTCATAATAATCCAACGTAATTTACAAACCGTTTCCTAAAACTACAAAAGTATTATAACTATTCTATTTACTGAAGATTAAACCTATACTAAATTAAAACTACAATTGAATTCCTAAATAAATTAAACTAATAAAAATAACTAATTAAAATATACTAATAACAAATAATTAAACTAAATTTCATAAGATAAACATTTACTAATAGTAACAATTAAATAACAATTAAATAATTAAATAATTAAATATAAATATAAATATAAATTAATTAAAAAAAAAAAACCGGCCAGCGCCGGTTTTTCTCTCCAGGCTCAACCGGCCTGGCGAGAATTTTCTTCGCCACCCCGTCTTCCGGTGGTGAAGAAACCGGCGCCACCGCTGCCCCGGCCGGCGAGGGAGAACCTCGCTGGGGCAAACAGAGCTGGCGCACAGATCTGCGCCAGCTCTTGTAAGGAGTGGCGAAGATCTGTGCGCCAGCTCTGTTTGCCCCGGCGCGGTTCTCCCTCGCCGGCTGGGGCAGTGGAGTTTTTTTTTTTTTTTTCTTTTTTTTCAAAATATACTTTAACACAATTCAAATTCAAATTTACGTACTTTTAGTTTGCGTAGCTCTTTTCGTAGCCGTTTAATTCGATCCGCTATTAAATTTAAGATTTTTAGGTGTTTGGATTGAGAGAATTTGAAATGAAAGATTGATTTAGGAATTGAAAGAATGAAATTGAAACTCTTTATTTATAAATTCATGTAAAGGGCAAAATGGTCATTTGGTATTTATTTAGGGCGTTGAAGGGAAATTTTTAGGGCGTTTAGTAGTCTGCAGTTAGTAAGAGTAAAAAGTCTTGTTTTATAAATAAATTTAATTAATGTAATTAAATTAACCAATAGTTCGATGACATGTAATTTACTCAAATTTTTACAAGTGTTGAATATCTGTATGTACATCTCATTCTTCGTTCCTTTCTGAATTGCCATTTGAATTATCTAAATTTAATCTATATGTCCGTAAGTTAAAATTCCGTTCACTAAACTTTTTTTTTCTTTTTACAACGATAAGATTATTACTTACGGATAAAGATAGCCGGAATATAATACTTTGGGGTATGGAAGTTGTTACTAATAATTTTTCTCCTATCTTTAAAAAATATTGAATGAATAACTAATTTCCCTCCTATAACATTAAACTTTTAGATTAGGAACTAATTGAATATTATTCTACGTCTGTGTTTTCCAAAAATATCCAAAGATTTGTCAGGCCAACGTTTATAAAACACTTTTATAGGTCCTCCGTCCAAGAACATACTCCCCCGTCCTAAAATTATTATCCAATTTGAGATTTCACTTTTAGTATAATTTGAACTAGAAATAAAAACCTAAAGTGGACAATAATTATGAGACGGAGAGAGTATGTTTTAGTATCCTTTATGTTTCAAAAGTTATTAACCTATTTAAATTTGCATTTTAAATAACTTGTATTAGATTTAAAAACCCAAACTATAGGTAATTATTATGGACGGAGGAAGAAGTATTTCTTTTTAAAGTTAACCTCCCCAAAAGCCACCACTTTCGTTGATGTCAACTATGGACATTCAGATACTCCATCTGTCCTATAATTATTATCTATTTTAATATTTCAATTTTAGTATAATTTGTACTAGAAATGAAAATCCAAACTAGACAATAATTATGGTAAGAAGGGAGAATTTTTTTTTTATTCAAGCATATTTTTTTCATTAAAAAAAGAAAAGAAAATAATTGTTTGCAACTCAGAAAAATAGTTAATTGAGTTATTGAATTAAAAACTAGAATCATACTATGATATCAAAACGTACGTCAACTCAAAACGTAAACATAATAACACCTTGGGAGATTAAAAATGCAAAGGAGCACCAATCATCCCATTAAACAGTCAAAAATCAGATTGGATAAGGGATATGATCACATCGTATACTAGTAGTCTATACTAGTACTACTAACGGACTTATCATGTCCTTTGAAGTAAAAGCAATTTGTTTAAACTTCACACATGCCAATGGTGTTATATCAAATTTCTACAAACATATAGGTCGGATAAATTAGATTATCATTAGCAACTTAGAAATATTCTCCGCCTTAAATTGTTTAATTCGAATAGTTCAACAAAAATAATCGAATCATCATATTTCTTTTAATGATAAATTTTACTTCAAAAGCAATTCACATTGAAATTTTTATTTTTCTGAAACAAATATTATAACTAATATATTAAACACGGTAAATGATATGTTAAAAAAAAAACAAGAAAGAAAAATCAATAAAATGAAAACGGAACCGTAAGAACTTTAGGGCCTGCATGACCAGCGTCTCGAAGGCAATTTTAGTTTTTTTTTTTTTTTGGGTTTTTTTTTTCCAACTTAAACATAAGTACAAGGTAAAAATTGACACTATCTATACAAAAATTTAACTTATATTTTAAATTTTATCTTAACAATTCATTTTATACAATAATTTTACCATCGGACAACTACCTGTTAGCGCATTGCTGGACCACTGGCGGTTGAATTCCGTCCAACTTCCGGCCAAATTGACCGAAATCCGGCCAACAAGGTCGTCGTGCTTAATCGGCGACCAACAAAAACAAAAACGAAAACAAATTCCATACGGCGACCAAGTTTTGAACTTTGAAGTTGATGAAGTATATATCATCAATAATTCAACATACTAGTTTGACACCAACAAAAAAATAGTCTGCGCAAAATATTCGACGACAACAACCGACCATCACCAGTCTAATACATGCACGTGTATTACACAAGACATCTTGATGTGTCCATCCAATATATCCACGTATCCCTGTCAGCTTAATTGGGTTGGCTGGCTCCTCCCAATAATTGCGGGAAAATTAAGAACCATCAGGAATAATGACATATATATCATGTAGAAACTCAAATAATCTGGGTTTCAGTTAATTTACCGCTGATTAACTTTATTTGAGGGGTTAAAAAATATGATTACTATACCCACATGATTTTCCAAAAAAAAAAAATTAATTTGTTTCTCTCAACCAGTATCATGATCGAGATGAATTATACCAGTAAAATAACTTGCCCCTTCTAGATACTGTATTAATATCTTTATGTACTTTTCTAAAATTATGAATTATTCTCTCATATAGTATCAAGCTGTACAATCTTCATATCTACTACTACTACTACTACTAATAATAATAATAATAATAATAATAAGACGATTTTATCATATACAGTAAAACCTCTCTAAATTAATAGTTTTAGGCCCCAAATTTATTAATTTATCGATAAATTAATAATTATTAATTTAAAGAGTTTTTCAATCATAATAACAAATTGCTTTTGAAACTGTAAAATTCGTTCAATAGATGAGCGACTAACAATATTTTTTAATGAAACTATTTCTGAAAAGGAAATTCATGAACTTGCAATATGATCAATAATCTCGGTTATCATGACAAAATGAATGTTCATTGCTTGTTCCATTACCCAGGAGAAAGTAATGAATTTATAGAGATAAAAAATTTTAAGAATATTATAGCTAGTGGCACTTAAAAGGCAATGTAACTCAAGATGAAGCGGAGGATCATTTGGTCCTTTTAGAACTAATATCCAGAAAGGAAGCTCTAAAGACAACAACTTTTCGTAACTTTTTTTTGCAGTATTACAAAGCGATACAAGAACTTTTGAATGCAATGAAAAAAGATTTAAAAAAATGATATCTCCATAGATAAATTTTAAGAAAAACTAAAGACCGATATAGATTCTTATTTTACTAAAAATTATTAGATTTTTTTTAGATAATTATTACTTTATGAAAATGTGGAGACCAATATTTATATAGAGGATTCTTGAAAATTTATTATTTATAAATGAATCGAGTTTTTTCATTTTTTGTACTGGTTCTGAATTGAGACAGACAAAAAAATTTATGATTTAGTAGATATTATAAATTTATATAGAATTAATTTAGAGAGGTTTAACTATATTTACTAATTGTCCCCTTATCTAAAGAAAAATCCCACGTCAAAGATGGACCAAAATCCTGAAATTTGGTCAAACATAAAATATTCCCCGAAACCAAACACAATCAAGGAAGAGAAGCCACGTTGAGACAGTAAAACCATGACAAGAGTTCCACGTAAAAGCTGCATGTGAGGACTTATTTCGCCACGTTTTAGTTGCGTATCTTCCCTCACCAAGTCTCATCCCATCATTTTATCTCCTCGTACTAAAAATACATATAAGTATACATATGTCTTACATGTTTCTAGCCTGCCATTTTCACCAACTTCTCTGTCCATGCATTATTAATCGAAAACAACGAATTTAATTTGGGTTTTTTTGTTTGGTTTTTGTGAATTTGTGATTTCATTCACTTTTTGAAGAAGAAAGAATGATGTCGGGATCGGTGATGCCTAATTTGGAGAGGAAATCATCCATCGAAAATGAACCTCGCACGCTTAACCTCAGCCAAATCCAAATTGCAAGAGTAAGTTCTTCTTCTTCTTCTTCTTCTTCTTGCTTCAGTTGGTTTATAAAACAAGATGAAAAGATTGAGGAATAAATGTATTCTCTCTTTTCGGGACGGAAGGAGTAATACTATCTGTTTTGTAACATTCAGATATGTGGTTGAATTCCTAAGTTCCAAAAATTAGACTATTTTTATAGGACGGACGGTGAGTCTGGAAGAAAGTTTGTTTTGGTTTCAATTGTCGGGTGGGTGGGTTTTAACGATAAACTTCTATATGGTTGAATTTGTGGCTGGGTGTGCAGGAGGCGGCGCTTTATGTGGTGAGCACAAGAAGCATGGAAGAAGCTCTTCGGATTTTTACAGCGGTAATTATCTTGATCCATAACCACCAGTATGCTTATGTGAAACTGAATTAAAAGTCTTGTTTCATGCATAATTTGCTTCTCTTTTTCGTCAGAGGGGATGAAATCGTTATTCCCGTGTGTTGTTATTGGTGTACATAGAAATTGGGTCTTTAATCAGAGTATAATTTTGAGATTTTTATTTTTATTTTAATGTTTAGGGATGGAGTAGGTTATTGTTGAATGTTGTCATTGACAGTGATGATGGGCCCTTGTTTTAAGAAGCATATATAGGTTCACAAGGTGTAAGCTAAATATACGGGTAAAATCAACATGAGACCTTTTCTGATATGTGTCTTCAATTTTTTGTTGTTATGAGATCCGTTGATAAATCTGCTGCTCTGTTAACATGATGCAAGGTTTTGATGATTTTATGCGGCTGCAGGGTCTAAAGCCAGTCATCAACTCGGCGAGGGATAGCGAGGAGGAGGAGGAGAACAAAAACATGGTATATGATTTCGAAGGTTTTGAGAATTCAGAGAGCCGGATCAGGGATATCGTGTCCGCGCCGTTTTAGTTGGTTCTTCTTCTGGTCATGACTCTCCGGAGAACCTGTATGAGCCATTGCTGTATATCTTGTGTACATAGTTTTTCTTTTTTATTCTCACGTTTGCCTTTTAAAAAAATTGAAATTTTCGGAGTTCGGGAGGTTCAAATGAGGCTCTTGAACTTTGACAAGATGATGTACCTGCTGCTGCTTCTTTCGTAGGAACTAAATAATGCACAGTTTCTCAGAGCAAGTTTGTACCTTAATTGGCAATCAATAGAAAGAAGAATTGATATCACTTTCGTTCCTCGTCTGTCTTAGTAGCTGAAACTAGCTTCTCTTTGATAGTGGTCGTAGAAAGCAAGCTTAGCATATATTGAAATTAGTCCGACCGGCTCTTCACATAATCTCTCAATCTAGGTTCTGTCAATGAGGCTGTAATAATCCCTCTTAAGTCGGTATCTAACAAATTACGTATTTTAAATATTAATCACCTTAATTCCAAGCAAATTACCCAAGTTTCGCTGGAAATACTAGGCGGAAAAAATAGTGGTTCCCGTAGAAGAATTTTTGGCTTTTACAGGGGAAGATATCCTGTTCTTTTTCTTCCTTCTGGCTTTGTTTGACAAAAATGTCGCATTACCTTTAATTAAAGGTCCAGAAACATGATTGTTTATCTGGATGTTCACTTTAAGTACTCCTCCGTCTCATAATTATTGTCTATTTTGTCAAAAAATTGTCCTAAAATTATTGTCCAATTTGACTTTTATGGATCAAGTTACACATTTGTCCTTAGTAAAAAACATTATCCATAAGATCTTAATAGTTAAATAATTACTTATGTAGGGGTATATCCGGTTTGTTTAAGGTAAAATATAATTAAGTTTGACCAAAAATAAAATATTTCATTTTAGTAAAATTGAACAATAATTATGGAACGGAAGGAGTATAAAAGAAATTTTAAATTTTAGTTTTAGTATAAATTATATTATATGTGAAAACCTAAATAAATAACAATTTTAAAACAAAGAGAGTGTTAGTAAATACAGCCAAATGTTCTTCATCAATGAGATAATCGTGCTACACAAACATAATTAATACTCCTTCCGTCCCATAATTATTGTCCAGTTTTACTAAAATGAAAGATTTTATTTTTGGTCAAACTTAAATATATTTTACCTTAAACAACCGGATATATCCCTACATAAGTAATTGTTTAATCACTAAGATTTTAATTGGATAATGTTTTTTACGAAGGACAAATGTGTAACTTGATTCATAAAAAGTCAAATTGGACAATAATTTTAGGACAAAATTTTTTGGACAAAGTAGACAATAATTATGGGACGGAGGGAGTATTTTATTTTTAGTTAAACTTAACTACATTTTACTTTAAACAACCGGATATATCCCTACATAAATAATTGTTTAACCACTAAGATTTTATAGATAATCTTTTTTATTAAGGACAAATGTGTAACTTGATTCATAAAAAGTCAAATTGGACAATAATTTTGAGACAAAATTTTTTGAGCAAAGTGAACAATAATTATGGGACGGAGGGAGTAAAAAATGACTGTTTCTTCTTTTTCAAACAATTTACAAAACCCGATTGGATGCCGAAATTTTGCAAGTGAAAATGAGTGAAAAAATTTAGTAGTCGAAAGAGTTTGTGACCTTTTCAATAATTTTTTACACTCCAGATTTTTGCGGAAACAATTTCGTGATAGCTACAATACAAAGAAAATTAAAAAATTGATGCAGGCTAATCTTTCAGAAATCAAAGATTTTAGGAAGCAAAACGGCTAAGATCCAAGGGATAACCAATGACTAAATGACATCAAATTTGATTTATCGAAGACACCCAGAAATACACCCAGATCATCAGAAAACTCAGAAAAATGCATTATAGTAATGAAGCATGTAGAGCAATCCATAACATCATAATCATGATCCACAAGAGCAATTTCAAACCAATGCACAGTTTTAGAGACGTTAAACCAACGCCAAACACCATGATAAAGTTCCGTAACAGGCCAATTCACCGAAACAGAAACAAAGAACCCTGAATGCAATCGGGCAATGTCTTCTGAATATCTCATCCCGCACAAATCCCAATAAAGAGCGCTACACAAAAGCTCCAACATAACTGACAAAGCGTCTTTAGTGCATCTACTCAACCTATAAGTCACCTCGGCCTTGGCAAGTATGGAGGAGCCATCAAAATCAGCAGGAATGGACTCCAACAACAGTTGGAGTCTTGGGAAATTTTTCACTGCTGCACTCCTGGGACCAATATAACAAACAAAAAATGAGTACATTACTGGCAAACACGCCACAAATGATCAGAGACTGCAGCATGTACCTGCAGCACCCACCGATCCTAAATTAGAGGTTTTTGCAACCTCATCAGATGCCTCAAGGGACATTGAAAGATGATAATATCACCTAAAAACAACTGAAAATACAAGAGGAACGAAGAAACAGAAGTTCTTCCCACCTCTTCTTTTTGGGAAAAAAGGGGGGATAAAAAAGGTACACATGGCACCTTTACAACTCATGCATTATGAAACAGAACTAGAGTTCATAAAGTGCGACGAGCAAACTTTATCCAGAGATCTCAATGTGTCCTGAACAGGGATCTCTACGAAAGAATTAAATTAGAACTAAGTAGAACTTGAAGGCTTTGTCCAACGACCAGAAGTGTCATCAGACTGTAATGAGATCTACCTCTTTCCTGCCTCCCTGCAACTCTGGGATTCCTCTGGTATGAAGGAACTCAAATTTACACCATGTGTGGTCCAGGTAGGGTTATAGATGTTGCCCTGTCGTAATTCAGAATATAACAAAATTCAGCCAAAGAGAATGGAATCAACATAAATAAGGAAAAACGAAGCATATTGAAGATACAGGAACATCTGGAATCCTTAAGCCTCACCAGTGGTGCAACAGTAGCAGGGTTGCCTTGATTGTGAGAAGAGTCAGGGAGACTGGGAAGCTGGATCGAGTTGATCAGACGTGTATCCCACCAAGGGAAATTACCCTGATGTTGGACCTGCCTCGAAACATCATTAGAATTAGACACTGCACATTGAGGCAAGGTATGTTGAGACCCGTTGGAGATGCAAGGTCTAAGGAAGCCATTTGTTTGCACTTCTCTAAATCCAAAAGAGTCTGTAGAGAAGTTCAATGGAGCATTCAAGTCATCAACTTCCAAAAATTCCATATCAGAAAAGTAATGTCCACCCCCATTGACGCCAGACAAGACATTCAGATCCTCTAGACCACTGAATGGATCACTCCCATCAAAATTAGGGTTAGGGGCAAGCTGGATTTCCCTTGCTTGATCAAGATGAGCAACCTTCATTCCAAAGTTACAACAAAATGAGTCAGCAGTACATCATTTCAAAGAGTTGAAGATTCAGTTACAAAGGAACTTGGAAAACAAACATGGAACCCTAGAGATGATTTTGTCTCATTAATGCTGATTATGCATTACAAATCTACCAACTATATCCTTTGTGGTAAAGATCCAAATAGACTAAAAAGCCAACACAAACCAAGGGAAAATAATTCCATTACTACCCGAAAAATGGGCAAGCAAATAAGTAAATAATAGTTCGCAAATCCCATATTTTAGAATTTTCTACTTTACACAAGATTACTGACCAAAAATAGATCATATATAGAAGTTAAGAGATGGAACAAGTAATAGAACAAAAGCAACTAAAGGACGAAAGCCCGTGAAAAACAATTAAACACACTTCCTTCTTCAAATGAGAATTTTTCATATTCTTTGAACGTCTATTATGTGAAGTCAATGAAGTGTCATGAAGTACAGTTATATTTAATTTGAAGCTACAGCCCACAATATGAATCTTACCAACATATGGATGTTTCAAGCCGATAAATCAATATTAAAAAAAAAATTGAATTAAAACAAAGAGACAAGATTTTATTCGCTCGACTCCTGAACTTATTTTTTGTAGCAGACTTTCTTTCTTTGTTATTCCAAACAATCCTAAGAAATCCAAACTTGGTACTCCACTAAGTAATTGCAATATCAAATAAAACTATTCAGTTTTATAGCTTATAGTAATGAATTTCCAAGACACCAATACAAAAACCAAAAAATAAATAAATAAATCAAACCTGGTTAAGAATACAAGTTCCCAATTAGATGACATTTTTAGTAACTTCTACAACTTCTACAAGTTTAACACTTCCATTTTGAATGAATTGTTATCACTCAGTTACACCTGCTGATCAATCCCAACACTGAAAATATCCGAGTCTTTTTAATTTTACATTCTGACTTGCACTATAACTACATAATATTACTTGTGCACATGTAGTCATATAAAAGGTTTACCAAACCAAAATAAAATGATGTTAAATATCTAAAGAAAATCAAGAAATAGCACCACATAACATATTACAACTATAACATCAAATCATGTACACTGATTACAACTACTATTTCTAATTTCCAATCATGTACACTGATAAAAGTGAGTAGACAGGAAGTATTAAAACTACATAATTTAGCATTCCATCGAATGTGTTGTAATAGTATAGGTATCGTGACAAATTAATACACAGGTACCCTTTCAAAAAAAAAAACTATAACATCAAATCAGAAAGTACCTCATTTGCATCTGCAGTGAGAGGAAAAGCATCATCATCATCCTTGAAAGAAGCAAGCAAATGAGCAAGGTCATCATTTCCAGCATCAGGAATCGTATCCTGGGCCGAAAGGCTAGCAAAGGATGCACCTGCTTCACTTAAAGACCATCCACATGTATTTGCATCAACTGTGCCTGTCAGCATAGAACTATTTTGACCATTTAAAAGCACCTCATCCCGCAAAGGTCGAACAACAGATGGGCCAGGTTCACTAAGGGACAACCCAGACGATTGCCCCGGCTCGACTATTCTCAGTGCAGTTGAGGAATTCTGATTTTGCTGCAGGTCAACCGCAAAAGGAAATGGGCCATTAGGTGTTAAAGAGTCAGGGGGGATTTCAGAATCATCATCCCATTCCTCCTCTTGAAAAGGAGCTCCATATTGTGCGCCATTTTTAGGGCCTGGTCCATTTTTGTGGAAGACTTTACACAGCACATAAGTATCCTACAAAATAAAGAGTGGCGTAACAACCTTTGAGTCAAGTTCGATAGGCAGCCATATAACAAAAAACAGCAGAAAAAGAACAGAAAGCCATCCAACATCAGTGATAAAACATTATTTTAAGATAACACCGTTCATGGTGTCATTCTCTCAACTAATAATAAGGAAAAGCAAACTTCAGTGAGAAATTTCTTCCATAACATAGCATGGTCAAAACTCAAGAGAACAGCAAAGGTAAATCTTAAGAGGAAACTCGTGAATTGACATGATAATGTACCTGGGCAACTCCCTTATCAGCCAAGTTTTGGTCTTCAAGCCTGTACTCGTGGATGACCCAATCGGTTCTTTTCCCATGTGGAGGACTGCCTAGGTGGAAAACCAGGGTCCGAACCTTACCAACAACATTGCCATTGTAGAGAACAGGTCTATCTTTTCCCGTTGTTTTCCAGTAACCAGTTTCTGTGGCACGGTTCATTCTTACCCCAGATGCATACTTCCTCTCCCTTGGGCAGAAGAAGAACCACTCAAGATCCTTCATTTTCAAGAGAGACATCCCTGGAAAGAAAAACAGGCATCAAAAAAATGTTTCATTTAAACTGAATGGAATGCTTACGAAAAATGTGTATCAGAAAAAAAGAAAAAGATAATAATGAAAATGATAGTATGATGATAAAAATAGTGAAAAGTGCAGCAAGAGAACGTCCACAGGTTGGTGGTAAAGTGGAGCTATTATACAACTGAAAAATAACCCTGGAAATTCAAATAGAGGGGTGTTGATTATGCTAAATAAAGAAAACAAAAGGAGAATTTTACTACCTGGGAGATCCCAAGGAGAGAACTTATAAATGTTGAGCTCTGTAATTGCTTCAAAGATAAGCTTCTTTCCCATGACTTTCCGTTTAAGGTAGTACATTACTAATTCGACATCAGTAGGATGAAACCGAAACCCCGGAGGAAGCATTGACCTCACCATCACAAATCAAATCCAATTGCTATGGTGCTCTCAATGAGCACAATAGCACAGCTTTTGTCGTAACAAGAGTCTATCGGTTGGAAGATGTAAGCCCAAAAAAAAAAAAAAGGAAATGTGTTCTTTTTCCTGTCCAAAAAGGATAAATTAAAAAAGAGAAAAAACTAATTATCTACACCAGAAACCCACCCTCCCCTCCAAAACTAAGTCTATGTCAAGTCCAATGCCGGAATAAGATCTTCCGTGAGCACCAAAGCCTTCCTCGGGTCATAAAATAGAAAGCACCCCAGACAAATAAATGATACCTCTTACAAGAACCAAAAGACATCTGGTGCACAAAGCAAAACCTACAAAAAAAAAAAAGAAAAAAAAAAAAAGAAATAGTCAGCCTCAAAGAGAAACAATTACAAACAAATAATCACAAAATACTAGACAGTCAGTCAATTCAGGCAGGTATTATTTAAACCAACAGAACTGTTTACTTGAGAAGCCCGTTACAGTAAGATAAAATGCAATTTGTCCCGGTCATAATTCAAGCCTTAACCATACACAAACAAGAAAACACATCTAAGAACGCCTTTGAGAATTCTAGAAATAAGACACCAGCCATTACCAGTTCAGACATCAATTACAATATGCAAGTTGCATCTAAGGCTGCTGAACCAACAAAAACATATGAAGTTTCACCAAAATATAGCATACCACCGATGAATTTTAAGAATAAAAATAGCTCGTAGCCCCAATTTGCAAAGATGTCACAAAACCCCAATAATAAACCCCAGGAAAAAAAACCCCAGATGTAATTTGCATCTAAGACTGCTGAACGAACAAAAACATACGAAGATTCACCAAAATATAGCATACCACAGATGAATTTTAAGTATAAAAATAACTGCTAACCCCAATTTGCAACGATATCACAAAACCCCAATAATAAATCCATAAAAAAAACCCTATCTCAACTAATGAAAAGGCGTTTTCCGCAGTCTGTTGACTTATCAATTGGACTCAACAAACACCAGAAATAAAATCATTCCAATTCAAAACAATTCCGTCAAAAATGATTTTCTTTTTTACATATATCAGATAAAACAACGACATAACCAAAATAAAGTCAGCGGTATTCTGAAGATTAAGGTGACATCTATATATACGCACCACCATGGAAACCCATCGATCATCCAGAAACCGATCAAAAAAAGAAAAATCTCGATTATGAAATCTTTTTTAAAAAAATACAAAAATCTGTAACGAGAAGATCCGCAAAAAGACTAACCCGAGAACGGAACCGGAGAGGCCTGAAAGAGGAACGAAAAGGGCGGAGGAGGAGGATGGAGCAAACGGAGTAAAGAGAGTGAAAGTTGAAAGGAAGGGAGGGTTTATATAGACGGGGGTTTAAGGCTTCTAGTGTGTGTCTGTATGTGGTGTAGTGTTGGAGTTTGGAGGGAAGCTTCAGAAGGACTCTTCACCTACTGTTTTTTTCCCATTTTTTTTAGGTGTTGTTTGGCAAATATTTTGTTTTAGTTTTTGTTTTGGATTTGAGATATGATTTAAAATGTGGTTTAAAATAAAATTTAAAAAATTATTTGGGTAATATTTTAAATAAAATAATAATATTTTTAGAATACTAACTGGCGAGAATTTGGCCGGAATCCGGCTTCCGGCCAGCGGCAGTCCAGCGGTGGCGGTGGGCGGTCTGGCTGCGGCGCCGGTGTTGAAGGTGGTCCAATGGTATTCTAAAAATATTTTTATTTTATGGCCGGAATTTGGCCGGAACTCGACGGGCTGGTCGCCGGCCGGCAGTGGTCCGGTGGCGGTAAGGGGTGGTCCGACGGTGGCAGGTGGTGGTGGAGGTGGTTCGGTGGTGGTGGACGAAAATTGTGTAAAAATAATTTTTAGAATCCCTTTTACCTTATTAAAGCAAAATACAAGATGTTGATGTGGCAACTTCTTATTAAAATTTTTTTGCTCCAAATGCACCATATTGCATTAAACATTCTGCCACGTGTCATTCTTTTTTAAAAGAAAAAAATTATTATCCGGAGAAACAAAAGCTACTTTTCAAAAATAGTTACACAATTTTAACTCCTAACATTTATCATTTATCAATCAAAATTAAAATAACATTTAAATTTGCCCATAAACTTATCCCCTTTATTACTCCACATTCTTTTGTATGATTTCTGCATTGTTGTACTTTTCAATATTTTTTCTCCTTTGGCAGATGATTTTTTTATTTATTTTTATTTTTATTTTTGGCTAAAAAGGGAGAAAAAACAAAATATGTAGCTATTTTATTTTTCCAAATCAAGAATTCATTTATCTATTAACACAAAATTAAAGTAGATGTTCGGGCCAAGCATCTAGTATTTTTTAAAAGATAAATTAAAAGGTTGTTTGGATATTGTTGAGATTTGTGTTTGAGAGGTGTTTTAAGAGGTAAAATGAGACAAAATGGCAAAATAGGTGTTGTCCAAACAAGACCTTACAAACCCTGGTTTCCGATTTCATTGTGATATTTTATTTATTATTTATTTATTTTAGAAAAGAAAATGACCCATCTTACATATATATAAAAAGAATTTTGATCCCAAGACACGTGTCGCTTCATTAGGTTACTAATAGTTTTTACGGTAAATATTTAACGGTAAAATAGTTAATATTTCATATTTACTATTGATCTTAACATAAATAGTTAAATATTTATTACTTTTTGTTTACTATTTATCTAAAATTACTTAAATACTAATTCACCTAAACTTTAAAATAAAAGAATATTTGAACTGAAATTTTTGCCGGCCTTGATCTCCAATTATTCCGGCAATATTTCGTCGATGATCTCCCTTTAGCATAACTTCCGGCATCACTGTCCACGTATATGGATTAACAACAAAACCGCAACGACTTCCGAATTATATGAAAACAACACCGGCAATAATATCCTTAATACCTCGCCTAAAATCTGCCATTAATTCAGTTCTAGGGAACGAAGTCCTTTGTGCATTCGCCAATCCTTACTTTTACCGGCGACCATTACATCTAGACAAGTATGGCAGAAAACAAATCTGAGATGAAGAAAAAATTACTGCAACGACGACCACTCAATAGAAAGAAGAGAGGGGGGCTCTGACTGGGGACAAAGAAGAAGAAGATGTGGAAGAGGAATCCGACTCTGACTGGATATGAAAAGTGGTGACAGAACCGTCGGTGGTGAGGAAGGAGGAACGGTTACTGGTTCTGCGAAATCAATTAGGAGAAAGAAAGAAATGTGCGGTGGCTGGGAGAATAGGTAGGTTAGGTTTTTCTAATTGAAGTTTAGAAAATTATGTTATGACCCTCTTAGTTTAGATTATTATTTAAATGACGTAAAAATTTAATATAATACTTAAAGTTGCAATCAAATTTCTTAGTATTTGATTTATTATATTATTAATTGTTATAATAATTTATTATATAATAATGACATCATTCAGTTTTGAACCGGTTCAGACAGTAAACTGGTAACCCGATATAACGTGACTGATGAAGGGGCAGCCTGGAGATCCCAGAGGCTAATTGACCGTCGGATGGGAAATCGACGTCCTGGATGGGAAATTGGATGGTGAGGCGGCGGTGGGTGATGGAGGCCGGTGAAAGACGTATAGGGTTTTGGATTCCATTTGTTCCTTTTTTTTTCCAGAAACAATTATCCTTATCTCAAATTAGTTCTAAACTTAGTTTATTTTTAGAACACATTAAATTTGAGATGTTGTCATTGTTTTACACGATAATATTTGGGTGATTCAAAATTTAAATGATAATAATTGTATACGGAGCCGTTTTAAATGATAATGAAATACTAAAATTCTAGATATGCTTTTAAAGGTAACATATTTAAAATTTGAACAATAATAACATAATTTGTCTCTCTCCTGCATATAGCACCCCCCCATCTCGAATCCATTCTTGATCACTGTGGCCTTCTCCGTTATCATCTCTCATTTGTTATCTCATCTCTATCTCTTCTTGCTCGGCTTTGACAATCTACTATCACTAACGCTACATCATCAGCTAACCAGCACCGTGGCTGTCTCAATAATTTTCTTGCCTAAAAGCTGATTTTTTCAACTGTTTTTTTAGTTTAATTAGGATATTTTACGCTTTCGTTAGTTGCATGATTTTGATTTTGATTTATATGTTTAATGCCTACCTCTTCTCCCATTTTAATTTTGTTTCACATCTGTGATTTTCATGACTTTTCATGCATGAAAATTTTTGGATTTGACGGCACATGGCTAGGCCTTAATTTCCCATTAGGATTATAGCCTCTCCGATGGTGTTGGATTGAAGTTTCGGAGATGAAGGATGAATATATTTTTTTTGGGTGTTTTTGGTATATTTTTATTTGGTGTTTGATATATTTATTACCTAAAGTAGTTTTCTTTGTTTTATGCTTAGGGATCAAAATTGATTGCTTTTGGTTCGATTCGTTCCAAGCCCAGGTTTTGATGATTAGTTTTCTTCAAAGAATCCGATAACGAATCCAATCCTTTGCCTACGAAGTTTGGAGAAATTAAACTTTAGATGTTATTTTGGTTCGGTGCAAAATTGGGTTTTCACCTTTATAAGGATCCGGATCAAAACGTAATACTTTTATGTTTTTCATTTTCCATTTCAGATTATTAGTTCTTCGTTTTTTTATACACCAAATGATTAACTAATTTAGATCGGTAAATTATTTTGGTGTTTTGAGTTTCCGGTGTGGCATGCACAAACCTAAACTTGAGAAGATCGATGTGGTTTTCTTTTCCGGTTTCGTTATTGAGAAATTTATGTTTTATTATTATCCGTTGATAAGTTTTTGGTTTTTTTCTGGGCCGCCGATGGAGACAAAATCAATTTATCAGTTTATCATTGGGTATGACTAAATAGTAAAGAATTTGGATTCGTTAGGATGAATTATCCATTGTTTTATGTTCAATTCGATTTGTCCGGGAATATAACTGCAAGATGTCGGCATGTATGCATATGAATTTATAGTTTGGGACAAACCATTTGGTTTCGGTGAGCCGTTATCTTTATGGTTTTTTTTTTTTGTGATCAATATTTTTGATCAATTTAGTATTGGAGCTTCCAGTGTGCAAGCACAAGAAACGGGGGTCTTCAGATTCGAAGTAAACTGCCTATTTGCTTATTAATTAAATGTTTAATTTTTTTCCCTGGGAAATTTGAAAATTGTGGCTGACTAACATTATTTGATCTCAAGCTGCCGATCGAAATTTTTTTTGAAGAATCCACTTTGGTTTTTGGTTCGGATTAGGCATTTACTCTTTGGATCTTTGCTTAATTTGGTGAAGTTAGTTTAGTCAGGATGTGATTAATTATTAGTTATATGGGTTGTTATTAACATGATTGCTGCGATTTTGGCATTGAATCATGGGCTATGTATTTGCCTAATATTCACGTTAATTGAATTTGATGTGTATGTTTTGTTTGTCAACTATTAAATTGGTTATAGAAAACTTATTTTTCGTCCAAAATTTTGGGTTACCGTTTAATGTGAAGTAAACTCAGATTTGTTATAGTAAACTTATTATTCTTGCGACTTACACAATATGACTATTGTTTTTTCATTTGTCTTGTCTCTTTTGACTTTTTGAACTAGATATCAGTTTTCGCATTTATTTGTACGCATTTTAGGAAGTTAATCAAACATCAATTTGATTTATTCTTTATTATACTTCTCTCAGTGTTATTTGCAAGCTAAAATAAACACTAATTTCTATTTTAAAACTATATTAAATCGTGTCGTTTATAAATAGACCGGAGGGAGTCTAATTTGTATGTTTATGTTTTTTGTTTCTACCATGAATGTTAACCTTAATCATCTCATAAAGGAAATGGCAAAAGAAAATATGATTTAATATATCACATTAGAGAATATTTTGAATAGAGATATATATAAAAGATAACATGGTAGGAAAAAAATATACGTTAGAGAATAATAGTTAAAGGTAGAACCATAGAATGATGAATGTCGCAATAAGAGAGAAAGTATGCAAGATTCAGGATGACTAATGAAACTCCAACCTTCCCTTTAAGAATGTGGAAATTATTCTTAAAGCTATCACCCAATTATATAAGAGTGATATTCGCAATTTCGCAACAAAAATTTACAAACAAATTAAAAGGAAAGATAAATGCAAGTTTAGTAGCATGTATTAATCGTGGGAAATTAATGTTATTTATCATAGAAAATCAAACAAATAACCAAATACAATAGAGAGATTAGTTACATGTTTTGACATTTTTATCACGCTTATTGGGCTTTTGATTATAGGTCATATATGATAGGGATTAAATTAAAATATTTTTATTTAAAAAATATAATCTTAATTATAAATATATTAAAGATGTGTTTGATAAATCCATTCAGCATTTTAACTTAATTAATTTATGGCTAATGATACTGTCAGGGCAATTATTAGGATCCAGAGCTAAAAAGATATGTACT